GATCAGGACATGAAGCTCCAGCAGCCTCGGCTGAGCTGTCCGCCTCACACCACACCAGCTTCGGACAGAGGAGGAGGAGCGCTCCGACAGAAAAAAATAAAAGCATACAGCTGCAGCTGCTCACAAGATCGCTAGTTTATATCGGGAATAAAAGTGTTGGGTCTTGTTTGACTGAAGTTCGGTCCGTTAGGGCTGCAGCTGCCCCGCTGTGTTTCTGCCTTTTTTCCCCTCCTCTTAGAGAGAGGCTTTTATACCAGAACACAGCCGCTGTGACGAAACCATGGAGAAGACACGTCACAGTGGAGAGCCATTAACCAATATGCAAATTAGTCTGCAGTACCACTGCTCTACCCATATGAGCAGCAAAAAGACGTTTTTAGACCAAATATTACAGATTTGAACAAATACGCACAAAAACATCAAAATTAGCACAGAAACAGTACTATATAACATTTTAGACACATTCTAGACAGTTTATCAGCTAAAAAAAGTTAATTTTGGGGTAAGTTACTCTTTAACTTTAAAACTGTTCCGATGCACAGTTTAGCTTCTGTTTTATAGAAAATAGAATCCAATTTGATAATACTGTATAAGCTACTGTTCGACTCATTTTAGCTTTGGCATCTGCTTCTGTTTGTCTAAAATTACCATGTGTTATGCACATACAGCTTCAACACCTGTTTTAATTTCAGCTATTTGCTAATTTAAGCTTCAGCATTTGTTTGGCCACTTTTATCTTATACTTTTCTGTTTATTTGCACCTTTAGATACATTTTTTTATTTGAGCTCTTAGCTATAGGTTTTTCTATTTTAGTTACTTTTCTGTAAAATTTTAGCGTTCCCAGTTTTGCTCATTTAGCTACTGATTTGCTAGTTTTACTTTGTCTACCTACTCTTTTGCACATTTTAGCATCTATTTTTTTGCTTTTATCTACTTTATCAGAAACTTTGTTGCTAATTTAATTTAAGCATACATTTAGCTTATTTGTTATTTTGACTATTGGCTGCTAATAGTTTCTAACATATATTCATGTTTCCTTTTTCTCTTTTTCTGCTCATCTTAGCTAGTGCTCTCTTTTTTACTTCGGTTTTGCTTGTTTAACTCTAATAACTCATTTTTAATTTTTCCAGCAAATTTCAGCTAGTCATTCAACACTCCTGGCATTTTTGCAGAAAAAAAAATGCTTCATCCTAGTTTTTAGTGGCTAAGTTGCTCTGGGGAGAGCTGCCACACCTTTGCAGTGCAGCCAATAAGAGAAGAGCTTTAGCTGCTTCAGTAGAATACAGTTTGTGAGAAACACACACCTGTTTCTACAGAAACACAGGCACTATCTGGAAGCCATGAAGGGAATTGTGCTGCATGTTTCTTTCCTGCTCCTCTTTGTTTGTGGTGAGTTCACTAACAGCCTCAAAACTGATCTTAACAAGTGTCTTTGATTTACCTTTAAGAAGTCAGGTAAAGACTGTGACATGGCGTGTGAAAAAACAACAACAAAATGTTGCATTACTTTGTTATAATCTAGATTTTAGAATGAAAACATCATAGGTAATCTATTTGCATTTTTGCTTTGCATTATTACTTGCCACGGAAAGGTGAAGGCAGGCAATAATGCTTTTACCAGTTCTCATTTGAGTGTTCTGGTGCTTCTCTGTTACAAAAAAAAACTCAAGAACCACAAGATAAATTTTAATGAAACTTTCAAGACGTTATCATTGAATGATGATCTAAAACTGATCAACTCTTTGAGCCAATTCAATGCAAGATAGCCACTATAGCCAACTGGCTACAAGTCAATTAATTTTACAAATATTAAGCAATAATTTGACGTGGTAGTAGCTGAGACACATTTGTCAAAAATACTACTGTTGGTCTAAAAAGCACTGAAAAGCTGTCTGCTATGAACCACCCAGAGTTAGGTCATTAGGGACAGGTCTCTTTTCTGTTCCCAGGGTCAGAAGCAAACACGGAGAGGCAGCCTTCAGTTTTTATGCTCCTCATGTGGAACAAACTCCTTGAGGACTGCAGGTCTGCTGAAACTCTCAGCTCTTTTAAATCAGAGTTGAAGATCATTCTGTTTGCTGCTGCCTTTCCTTAGAACAGACAACTGCAAATTTCCCACACTGCTACTTTTATCTGCCATTTTAACATGCATTTTATTTGCTTTACCTCATTGTGATTTATTTTTCTTTGCTGTATTTGCATTTCATATAATTTGTTTTGAAGGATTTGTGTAAAGCACTTTGGGTTGTCGTATACATGAAATGTGCTATACAAATAAACCTGCCTTGTTTTGCCTTGAGGACGTACTGTACCCAAGTATCTTCTGTATCACTGCTTCTTCACTGCTTTCTAATATAAACATACCATGTGTGTTTGTAGTTTATTGTCAGAAGGATGACAATATTCCAGACAACCATGAAGCAGTGATTTCAGGAGCAGAACAAAAAGACCTGGATGGCAACAGAGAGGTAAGACTTTCTTTTTTTCAAACTTTATTAATTTCTTAAAAACAAAGTTTAATTTTATGTACAATAAAAAAGAAAATACAAATAAAATTAAATGAAAGGCGACAGAGAAAAGAAAAAATCTTATTTCTGCCCCTTTTTCTTCAAGTATAAATTTAAACAATAATAATCTTCAGTTAACAAAACAAAAACATCAAATCTTTGTAGAACAACAAATTATATGAATACACATTGTTTTGTTTCATATTTTTTCAACAATCCAAACTTTATCATTCTCTTAAACATGTACATTGATCTGGCATTTTTAATATCATCTTCCAGATTATTCCAAAATCTGACTCCTTGGATTAAGGTGCACCGTTCTTTCAAACATGTCCTAAATTTAGGTTTCATGAACTTCTCTGTCCGCTTAAGATTATAACAGCTCTCTCTCTTAATAAAGTTTATCTGGATGTTTAAAGGTAATGTCTTAGTGAGCTTCATACATAACTAACAAAATGTTTTAGTCAACCAAATCATACAATTTCAGTAATTTCAGTTTACAAAATAATAACTCTTATATCTCTTTTCTGCAGAACAAAAACAGGATTTGTAATAGTCTTACATGCTTTCCCCCACACCTCAACACAATAAACCAAGTGTGGAACAATTAGTATGTTGTATAACATATACAGAGCTTTATCATTAAACAAATCCCTCACTTTGTACAGCAATGCAATATATTTTGATAGTTTTATTCTTAAGTAGTTTATAGTTTCTCATCAAGAAAAACACGCAAAAACTTTACCTCACTGACTCGACTAATCTCTACACCAGTGGTTCCCAAACTTTTTGTCTTCTGACCCACAAAATATTCATGGCAAAAACTTGTGACCCCAAATATTACTGGTCTGAGTACACTAACTTCGTTAATAACCTTAAAAACACAGGATTTTTGACAATCTAAACAACTTGTACACAAATATAAATACTCATTTATACTTGTTTTGTGTTTTTGTAATAATTATAGGGAAAATATTACATCAGCAATTATTTTATTACCCTTTAAATTGATTTCTGGAGATTATCCAAGGTGCTTCATGACCCATAATTGGGTCCCAAGCCCAACTTTGGGAACCAAAGTGCAGTGGTTCCCAAACTTTTCAGCTTTTGACTAGAGGTGTCCCGATTCCGATACCAGTATCGGTATCGGATCCGATACC